CGAAACTAAATCAAACGTAACATAACTCAACCTATCGTGCTGCGACCGCTATTGCAGGCCTCCTCAGAGCCAAGCCGGACACATTATTGGGGAGTAGGACGTAGAGATCCATAGAATGGCGGTGCATATCATCAGAGTCAGTGCTACACAATCCTAACTCAAACCACCAGAACATAGACAAACATAGTTTGACTCAAACTAATATGCCGAGGCCGTTAATGCTGCCCACCCCATAGTCAAGCAGCACGTACTAGAGTGCAGTAGAGAGCAGAAATCCACCGAAAAGCAGAGTACAGGAAAAAAGGTATAGCTAGCCTGACCAAACCTTTCCCAATCCAGTATAACCGACCGCAACCTGACTCAGTATAACGCTCCGAGGCCACATTTGCTGGCCTTCCCGGTGCCAAGCTGGAAATTTAGAGCACTACAGTGCGCAGAAATCCCCCTCACAGCAGAACATAGCACTAAAGTTAAAGCTATCCACTTCTAACCTAACCAATCGAAACATAAACAAACGTAACCAGACCCAACCTAACGTACCGAGGAGACAATTAATGGCCTCCCCAGAATAAAGCAGTACACATTAGTGGAGGGCACATCGCAGAAATCCTTGGAATCACGTATATTAGAAAAGTCAACGCTACCCGAACCTAACCCGAAACCATCAGAACATAACCAAACATGGCATAACTCAGCCTAGCGTGCCGAGAGAGCCATTCCTGCGTTCCGCAGAGCAATCAGGGCATACTAGAGCTCAGTACAGCGCATAAATCCAGCAAACAGCAGTGTTCAGCGCACAGGCTAAAGCTATACCATCCAAACTTGGCCTGACCCAACCAATCCGTACGAAACATGACCCAACATAAAGTGCCGAGTCCACCATTGCTGGTCCTGCCAGAGCTAAGCTGAAGGCATTAGAGCACTGCAGGGCGCACAGATCCACCTAATAGCAGACTATTGCTCTAAAGTCAATGCTATCCTCTCCTAACCTAACCAACCGTAACATTACCACACGTAACCTAACGCAACCTGACGTGCCGCGGCCACATTTGCTGGCCACTACAGAGCCAAACGGAACAAATTATTAAAGAGTGAAGCGCAGAAATCCGTATAATTGAAGTGTATATCAGGAAAGTCAGTGCTACCCATACCAACAGAACTTAAACGAACACAACGTAAATCAACCTCACGTGCCATGACTGCTAGTGCTGCCCTCCACAGAGTCAAGCAGGACATACAAGTGCGCCGTAGAGCGCAGAAATTCACCGAAGAGCAGAGTACAGCAAAAAAGTTGAAGCTGTACCGAACAAACACAGCCCAACACCATCTAGCCGAACGTAACCTGACCCAACATTTCGTGCCGAGACCACTATACTTGGCTTTCCCTGAGTCAAGCTGTGAATATTGAAGCACTGTAGGGGACAGGAATCCACCTGAAAGCAGACTATAGCTCTAAAGTCAGAGACAACCTTTTCTTTCACGTGACGTAAATCTTCCAAAGCTACTCGGGCCCCTTAGGGGAGAGGGACGGGTAATGTGGTATTTTTACCCTCTAGAACCCCACGATGGCCAGCTCTTCGCATTTCGGTGCGCCCTGGACTTCGCGTCGGCGCAATTGTCTGGTTGCCCCCGTGACGCAACCGCAGTTGCCTCCCGGAGCGACGGGAACTCGCAACCGAAACGATCATGTCCATGCGTGCGAGACGGGTCGATTACAGGCACACACAACACGCATACCACCGCTCCGCAACGCACGCATACCCTGCGGACGCCGCGCGACCGGACTACGGTTTCTCGAACAGACGTGCCCCCACACGCCAGCCCGAGGTCACCCTAACCAAGGTTACAACGGGAGAGAGAGAGAGTCTCCTCGGCCGTAGGTACATGGTCGCTCCCGAAGGCGGAGGTCCAACGCTTTAACGTATCCGGCAGTGGGCGCCGTGCATGCAGCCTCCGCCGCCCTACGCGCGTAACATAAACGCCTCGCAGAAGGAGACAACCGCACGCCACGCACCTAAGCTCCCGGTCATCCGCACCGCGACGTACGGAGAGTGAAAGGTCCCAACCCACCACGCGACAATGTACCCGGCGCTCGCGTGCCCACGCCGAACATTACACCAGCATGTGCTGCGCCGTGCCCCGGCCTTCCCCGCAGCGATGACACCGCGTCACACGTTGCCCCCCGATACATCACAGGTACTCCCCGAAGCACCCGTGCCCGGTTAGCACCTGTGTCAGGCGGAAAGTATGCTGGCTGCCGCTGCGCCCCCATGCATCTAGCACGGGGCCACAGCCTCGATCGCCCGGTGCCGCTGGCTGCTCGGCTTCCTCAGCCGAGCTCGCTTGGCGGTCATCACGGGTTGTCGGACCCATCGCCTCAACGAAACCGCCCCTTCTTCAGGAGCCCCGCCACCGCCAGCCTGTAGGACTCAACAGATCCGGGCCTCCCGCACCGCTTGCAGTTCGAACGGCGGAACCCCCGCCAGGACCATCATCCCCACGTGGGCTATCGTGCGTAACCGCGCACGACCCTGATCGCCATCCAGAGAGCGATTCGTTGGAGAATAGCCAAACTGCGCGGAATAGCGACCAGGTCGTTCGCACAGTTCGGAGTTCGCCCATAAAGTGCCATCGAGCGAACGACTCCCGTGTAGAGGCGGCGCCCCCTCCCGTCTGGCCGACCCAGGTTGGGTCCCAGGCTACCCAGCCCCCCCGCCATACATTCCAGGCGTGGTTCCAGCGCGAGAAAATGCTCGTCGAACTTCCAGTGACTATCGAGGACGGGACCGAGATATTTCACCCGGTCCAGTACCTCGCCCACGACGTTCCCCACGCGCATCTGGGACTTGGGCGGGTTCCCGTGGTGCCGATGGCAAAACCACATTGCGTCAGTCTTCTCGCGGGAGATACTCTGCCCCATGTTGGATGTTATTCGCGACGAGGGCCACGCCGCTTTCCGCGCGCAGCGTGGCCTCCTGCCAACTCGACCCGGCGGCCATCATCAGCGTGTCGTACGCGCAACACGCCAGGCTCAGGCCGAGGAGGATGGCAGAGCACATCACGGCGTCATACGCGAGGTCTCAGGGGATCGGCCCGAGTACCGATCCCTGTGGAACCACGCAGTTCGTCACCCGCTCGCCGGTCGAGTATCTTCCGGGATACTCGATCGAGCTCTCCGCCAAATAGACGCCGATCGCCGACATCATGTATTGGGAAAACCTGTGGTTCAACAGGGCACACCGGATGGACGCCCAGAGCAGGGCGTTGATGGCGTTGGCGACATCCACACCGAACGCCAGCACCACCCCGCCCCGGTTAACGGCAGCCGCCGACAGGGTACGAACGTGCTTAATCGCGTCGATCGTCGACTGACCCTGCCGGAATCCGAACTGGCTGTCGCTGAGATCGTGACCCACGTCCGTTAAATGCTCTCGGTGGCGGACAGCTATAACGCGCTCGAAGAGTTTGCCCGCCTCGTCGAGCAGGAATATCGGCCCATATGCCTCCGGGGAGTCCGGCGGCTTTCTTGGTTTCGGGAACAGCACGACTCTCGCTCTCTTCTAACATGCCGGGAAGCGACCGGTCCTGAGACAGCTGTCGAGCAGCCGCCGCACACGGTCACCTCGGCATCCAGAGCCAGTGCAAAGGCTCGTTCTGCGATGCCGTCCGGACCGAGTGCGGTGCTCCTGGTCCCCATCCTAACGGCCGCACGGCCCAACACTTGGCGCGAGACGAGCAGCTCGTCGAACCATCCGAACATTTCCGATCGCACTGCAACGGGTTTCAAACGCTCCTCCGCCACTACCGGGAATAGGATGTCGATCACCCGCCGCAGGAGGTCGGGGTCCATACGCTCGGTGAAGGGAGGCGCCCATGCCCATAACTTCCCCATTACTAATTTATATGGGAGTCCCCACGGATCGCTTTCGAGCGTCGCAAGGAGATCGTCCCACTGCCGAGATTTGGCTCTGCGAATCTCCCTCAGCACATCGCCCACCGCGGACCGGTTCTCGCGATAGAGGCGAGCGACATCCTTGGCGGACACCGCGCGTAGTCCACGCCGAGCCCGGGTGTGCTGTCGCCGGGCGAGCACGCAGAGCTCCCGGAGCAGCGTGATTTCGGCCGACCACCAGTACACTGCACCACGCGAAGGTGGCTCCCTCACACGCGGCATTGCGACGTCGCATGCGCGCGTCATCTTCGCCATTAGCCGCTCCGCACCTAACCTCGGTTCGTCGTTTTCGCGCCCAACGGCCCCATCCGCCCATGCGACGACCTGGACGGCCGCGGCGAAGAGGTCACGGTCGAGGCGCCCGAGCGCTCACCTCGTGGCGGTGGCGAGCTTCCCGCAGGGTGGTTCCAGACCTGTGCGTGGAGTGACAGCAGGCATCATGGTGATGTGGATGTGGTCGCTAAGCTTTTCCACCACCACCGCCACCCTCCAGCCGGTGACTCGCCACACATCTGCCGGCGATGCGAACGACAAGACCTTGATGGACGTGCCGTTCCACCGGACGCACGTCCTCACGGCACCACGGTTGAGCAACCGCAGATCCAATCCCGCGGCCCAATCTTGCAGGGCCTCGCCCCGAGCGCCTGTTCGCAGGGAACCCCACGCCACGCGGTGGACGTTAAAGTCCCCCAGGACCAGAACCGGTGGAGCCATGTTTCCACTGAGGACACTTCCGATCTCGTCCAGGTACCACTCCCACGATGGGAGGCCGCGGTTGGGGGAGACGTAGCACCTAACTACGACTACGTTGTTCCAGGGGACCGCCACGAATCCCTCACTGCTGCGAAGCAGCGATGGTGCGGGTGTCCGCAGTAGTCCGCTGGCGGTGATCGCCACGGAGCCGTCCCAATCCGCGAACCACACGTCTTGATCGAGGATACGGTATGGCTCCGCGGTATCAGCCAGCCCGACACCCAGCTTAATGAGCGTCTGCAGGAGTAGGTACTGCGTCGCCCGCGAGTGTTTCAGGTTGGCCTGGAGCACCAGGGACGGCGTGAAATTTAGGCCGTTACCATGGCCTCCTCCTGGCTTCCATCCCTTCGGGCCGGCTGCGGACCCGGTACTCTGCCGGTCGGCGGGCCCTTCGCGGTAGCATTCGCGGAGAGGGAATTCGCGGACGCAGGTTTCGAATTGGCGCTCGCTGGCGCCAATCCACAGCAACCCACTCCTAATCTAACCAAACGTAATATAACCAAACGTAACCCAACTCAAACTAACGTGCCGCGACCACAATTGGTGGCCTCCCCAGAGTCAAGCGGAACACGTTAGTGGAGCGTCGAACACAGAAATCCATATATTCGCTGTGTACATCAGAAAAGTCGAAGCTACAAAAGCCTATCCCAAACCAATTTGGCATAGCGAAGCATATCCTGACTCAAACTAGCGTGCCGAGACCGCTATAGTTGCCCTCCCCAGAGCCGAGCCGGACATACTAGAGAACAGTAGTTCGCAGTAATCCCCGGAACAACGGTGTACGGCACAAAAGTTAAAGATATAGTGCCCAAACGTAGCCCGGCCCAACCTAACCGAACGTAACATGACTCATCATAACATGCCGAGAACACTATCGCTGGCCTTCCGAGATCCAAGCTGCAAGTATTAGAGCACTGTAGGGCGCAAGAATCGGCTTAATAGCAGACTACAGCACTTAAGTCATAAGTGCCCTCTCCAAACCTAACCAAACGTAACAATACCAAACTAAATCTAATTCAACCTGTCGCACTGCGACCACTATTGCTGGGCTCACCAGAGTCAAGCGGAACACGTTACTGGAGAGTAGAACGCAGGAATCCATAGGATCACAGTGTACATCGGAAAAATCGAAGCTACACAAACCTAACCCAAACGAACCGAACATATCGAAACGTAGAATATCTCGCACTAACGTGAAGAGACCACTATTGCTTCCCTCTCCAGAGCCAAGCAGGACATTCTAGAGCATAGTGCAGCGCAGAAATCCATCGAATAGCGGTGTACAGAGCAAAAGATAAAGCTATCCTTACAAAACGTAGCGCATCCCAACCGAAACGGACGTAGCATGTCTCAACATAACTTGCCAGGACCACTTTTTTCTGGCATTCCGTGTGCCAAGCTGAAAATGTTACAGCACCGCGGGGCGCATAAATCCAACTCAGTGCAGAATATAGAACTAAAATCAAATCTCTCCACTTCCCACCAAACCAATCATAAAATAACCAAACGTAACCCAACTCAACCTAACGTGCCGCGAAAACCAATGCCGGCCTCCCCAGAACCAAGCAAAACACATCAGTGGTGAGGAGAACCCAGAAATCCATAGAATCGCAGTGTTTATCAGAAAAGTCTAAGCAACCCGAACTTAACCGAAACCAACAGAACAAAGCCAAGCTTAGCGAAACACAACTTAACGCGCCGAGGCCGCTATTCTTGCGCTCCCGAGAGCCAAGCAGGACATACTAGAGCAGAGTAGAGCACAAAAATCCACCGAAGAGCATTGCACAGCACAAAAGATAAAGCTATCGTGACCAAACTTAGCCGGACGCAACCTAACCGTACGTATCATGACTCAACGTAATGTGCAGAGACCACTATTGCTGACCTCTCCAGTTACAAGCTGAAAGTATTACAGCACTGTAGGGCGCATAAATCCACCTAATAGCTGACTACATCGCTAAGGACGAACTACATCTCCTTAAATAACAAACCGTGACATAATCAAACGTAAAATAACCCAAACCAATGTGTCGCGACCACTGTAGCTGGCCTCCCTAGAGCCTAGCAGAGCACATTACTGGAGAGTAGGGCGCGCAAGTTCGTAAAATCGCAGTGTGCATCGGAAAAGTCAAAGCTACCCGAACCAAACCGAAACAAACGGAATATAACCCAACATAGCCTGACAAAACCTGCAGCGACCGCTATTTTTGCCCACCCCAGAGCCAAGGAGGACTTACTAGATCACAGTAGAGTGCGGAAATGCACCGAATAGCAGTGCACAGGAGAGAAGTTAAAGCTATACTGACAAAAGTTATCCTGACCACACCGAACCGAATGTAACCTAACACCATGTAACGTGCAGAGGCCGCTATTGCTGGCCTTCCCAGGCACAAGCTGAGGGCACTAGAGCACTCTATGACGCAGAAATCCAACTAATAGCAGACTGTAGTACTGAAGGCAATGCTATCCTCTCGTAACCTAACCTGTCGTGACATGACGAAACGTAACCTAACTCAACTTAACGTTCCGCGACCACAACTGCTGTACTTCCCAGAGCTAAGCAGAACACATTAGAGGAGAGGAGAGACCAGAAATCCATAGAATTTCTGTGTATATCAGAAGAGTCGAAGCTGGCCAAACCTAACCGAAACCAGCAGAACATGGCAAAACATTGCCTATCACAACTTACCACGTCGAGTACCGCTATTGCTGCCCCAGCCAGGGCTGAGCAGGACATACTAGAGCATAGTAGAGCTCAGAAGTCCACCGAATATCAGTGTAAAGCACAAATGTCATAGCTATCGTGACCAAACTTAGTCTGTCCCAGCCTATCCGATCGAAACATTACTCAAGACAACGTGCAGAGACCACTACTCCCGGCCTTCCCTGAGTGAAGCTGAAAGCGTCGGAGCTCTGTTGGACGCGGAAATCCACCTAATAGGGGACTATAGCGCTAAAGTCAAACTACATTTCCTAACCTAACCAATCGTGACAAAACCAAACATGACATAACTCAACCCAAAGTGCCGCGACCACTATTGCAGGCCATCCCAGAGCCAAGCAGGACACTTTAGTGGAGAGGAGAACCCGCAGATCCAAAGGATCTCAGTGTACAACAGAAAAGTCGCATGTACACAAAGCTAACACAAACAAACAGAACATATCCAAACATAGAATAACTCGCACTAACGTGCCGAGACCGCTATTGCTGCCCTCCTTCGAGCCAAGCCGGACATACTAGAACGCAGTAGAGCGCAGAAATCCAACGAATATCAGTGTACAGCACAAATGCTAAAGCTATCCTAACCAAACTCAGCCTGGACCAACCAAACCGAACGTGAACTGACTCAACATAGAGAGCAGAGACTACTATTCCTGGCCATCCCAGAACCAAGCTGAAAGCATTGGCGCACTTTAGGGCGCAGAAATCAACTTCATAGCAGACTACGGCGCTAATGTCAAGCTACGTCTACTAACCTATCCCATCATGACATAGGCAAACGTGACCAAACACAACCTCACGTGCCGCGGCCATTATTGCTGGCCACCCAAGAGCCAAGCGGAACACCTTGTTGTGGAGTTGAACGCATGTATCCACAGAATCGCAGTGTACATTAGAATAGTCAAAGCTACCCATGCCTAAACCCAATAAACGGGACAAATCCAAACATAGCCTAGCTAAACCTAACGTGCCGAGGCCGCTATTGCTTCCATTCCCAGAGAGAAGCAGGACTTATTAGAGCGCTGTCGAGCACAGAAGTCCACCATACATCAGTGTACAGAACGAAAGTTATCGCTAACCTTACCGAACATCGTCTAACACAAACTAACAGAACGTAACCTGAATCAACGTAACGTGCCGATACCACCATTTCTATCCTTCCCAGAGACAGTCCGAAAATATTAGAGCCCACTAGGGCGAAGAGATCCACCTAATGGGAGAACATAACACTAAAGTCAAAGCTATACTCTCCTATCCTAACTAATCTTAACATAAACAAACGTATCAAAACTCAGCTTAACGTTCCACGACCACTACTGCTGCCCCCCCCCCCCC